AGCATTTAATTTATTTAATAATTTGTAAATAAATTAATATAAAAAGTAATTAAATAAAAATTAATTCAAATTCTGTAAAAAAAGTTTTGCAGAGATAGACACATGAACAGACAACGAACGCAAGAATCTAAAAATGAGAAGTTTTGTGTTGGACATTATACTAGGTGTTGATAAAGTTAAATTGCATGGACAAAGCCACAAATGACACACAAGCGAGATATTAAAATTATCTTTTAACTTTTTTAACGTTTTAACCGTACAACTGTAAATTTTAAGTTGTTTATGGTGTATGTTATACCAAGAAAGAATAACTTTTATCTGATGAATAAAAGTCAGCTCTAAAACAAAAATTCTATTATGAATTTCATCACAACGTCAGAATAAAACTAAAATAAATCTGATCCACTTGTAAATTCAAACTGAAACAACTAGAATCTTTCATCTGAATCACTATAAATAACGCACACCATAAAATTGCCACTAAATTCCTCTGTTGAGGGTGCTATTAATCAGTCTGTACCGAGACCGAGGGATTTAACAAAATCCCTGAACCCCCCCCCCACCCCCCACCCCCCATGTTATCTCCCTATAGAGCATTCCGTACTCTATTTATAAAGCGATGGAAGGAAGAGCTTTATGTGTGATAGTGTTAAATGAAGAATATGGCTCAGATTCTATAACAGCAAGCGCTTCGACGCACCGCTATAAAAATACGGGTATCTAAGTAGCTCAAAGGTTGTCAATCATCTAAATCATGTTTTAATTGCATTTCCACTAATATGATGTTATCTACCTCCTATTATTACCTCAATTCTCACTGACGGTCACTGAACCCTTTTATTGAGTTCTTAAATCTTGTCTTATATAAGAGATTTCCACCTATGTATTGACTCATCACGATATCTCTGGAACCATAAGCCCAGAGACTTGATATTTCGTAAGAATATTCCTTTTGGCAAGTAAAGCTCAACTAAGATCTTGCGAAATTCCACCTGCAGGGTGGTTATAATAAAACCACAATTTGCAAATTAATTTTTTTGCGGTTTTGTTACTGTTTATCTTATTAATTTTTTTTATTTTTTTTTTTTTTTTTATATATTATTTTCCTTGAAATTTTTTTTTTTTTATATACTAAACGGAACGTGGGGTTTTTTTGTGTTTGTTCAATCGTTTACTGAATCGATTCCTATCATTTTTAATATAGGTAATTTTTTATCCCAAAAATAATTAAAACTACGTAAATTACAGTCACACTAAATCTCTACAGTCAAAACTGTTTAAGGCAATAATTTTAAGAGTGCAGTTTTATTTGTATTATTACTAATTCTGTCATTCAATAAAAGTAAAGAAAATGAACTTTATTTCAAGCACGTTAAAGTCTTTGCGTTCGTGGATTTGTACTGTGACCACAACATTCTTCCCGAATTAGTATAACTAATTTGATAAATAACCAGTGCATGAAAATGTTTAACTAATAATTCAGTGTATGTATTGTGATTATAACATAATATACTAATTGGGGTGTCTGAGGGTGTACATTAATTAGTTACATATTATATATATATATATATATATATATATATATATATATAATCAAATTATAGCTCTTATAGGTAAACTTGGCCAGAATATTCTTTTTGACATAAATATATATTAGCATATTAAAAATTACCAAGAACGAATTTTATGAAATTCTACCAGAGCGGTGCGGGGGCGTTAAAAATAAAAAGAATTTTAAACTTTTAATCTGTCAGCTACATACTGGTTTGAAATTTGGCGAAATTATTATTTTTGTCATCTTGAGCCCAACTGAGAACGAATTTTACGAAATTCCACTCACGAAGGGAATCGTTCGACGAGGGGGCGTTGTAGTGAAAGTAAAACAAATATTAACTATATTTCGGGCTATAATGATTAATAAACTTTAATCTGTAGAATTTTGTGTGTGTATTTGAGTGGATTCCTGGATGGTTTCAAAACTCAATTGGACCCGGTAGGTGGCGCTGTTGTCGAGATCCAGAAATCACCCGTGCGAAGCTGGGGTGGAGCGCTAGTCTAATATATAACAATAATGTTCGTTTGTTCGTACTCGTGTTTTATGCGCTGCCATACCGTTCATCAGATTGCGTTAAAACTGGCAACTTATTGCTTGCACTTCCGCAGAGGTTGTAGACATAGTTGGACTCGGTAGATGGCGCTGTTTTAGAATCCAGATATCACCCTTGCGTAGCCCGTGATCGATAGCGATTAATAATTTTAAATGAAAACTAACTTTCTCTAACTCAATAAATGTGACAACCGCATAACCATAATACCATAACCGAAACCAACTTATGTAGAAAAATGTTTGCGTTTTGTTTCTTATGATTTTTTTTATAGAAGAGGGGCAAACGAGCATGCGGCTCACCTGATGTTAAATGCCTACCGCCGCCCATGATCAACCGCAACACCAGGGGAATTGCAGGTGCGTTGCCAGCCCTTTAGAAAAGAGTGAACTCTTTTCTTGAAGATCCCCAGGTCGTATCGGTCCGGAAAAATCGCCGGTGGTAAACTATTCCACAGAGAGGTTGTACGCGGAAGAAAACTCCTTTTGAAACGTACAGTGGTGGATCGCCAAGTATCCAGATGGTGTAGATGGTATCGGGACGTTTGCCGCGTGGTGCGTTCACGAAATTTGGCGGCTGTGATTAATCCGAACAATTCCTCAGAGCACTCCCCATGGTATATGCAAAAGAAAATGCAAAGAGATGCAAGATCTCTTCGGAGCGCCAGTGAATCGAGCCGATCGGAAAGCACTCGGTCGTCGACGATTCGAGCCGCTCTGATCCGCTGGATGCGGTCAAGTGGAAGGAGCTGGTAGTGGGGAGCTCCAGCCCAGAGATGGGAACAGTATTCCATGTGCGGCTGAACCTGCGCCTTGTAAAGTTGCAGGCGGTGTGCCGGCACGAAATACTGTCCCGCTCTGCTGAGCATACCAAGCTTTTTAGAGGCCTTCTCTTCCAAGTGACCACGAAACTGCACGTCACTCGATACGTCGACGTCGAGGATTCCGATACTGGCTGAGGCAACAAGGGGAGTGCCTTGAAACTGAGGAGATACGACAAAGGGGTTTTTAGAATTTTTTTTTTTTAGAATTTGCCTCATGTCTTTGAAACTGAATGTTAGCTTGTCTCATAATTAATATATCGTATTGTTATAATATGTAACTGGTTTCTCGGAAAGGGCCCTAGCTATTTTGAGCTTATAATATGTTAAAAGTTTCTCTAGATAGAGAAATATTGTATATTTTTCTTCTAAGCCTAGCTAGGTTGCTCTAATACTATATAATAATAAAATATGTGCAATAAAGAGATAAATAAAATTAAATAAATAAATAATATTACGGTAACTGTTCGTAACTTCGCTTGTCAAGCGAGTTGGCAAGCTTAGAATGAGCAGTGCCTATCACGGCACCGACGCGACGTGATGATATAGGGTATTAAATTGAAGTTAGCTGCAGGTATCCATAGACGGAAGTAGCCACTTACTTCAGTTTCATGGACACTGATTGATATTACGTGGTAGTGCCATGGTCCAGTTATATTAGTAGTATAGTTGTAGTACGAATGGGTCGGACAGTAAGGACCACGACCGCGTAAGGACTACGGTAAAATGTTTCGTATGGTGAGAATCCCAAACGCTACCTAGCCGAGTTGGATCCTTCGGTCCTCTCATGACTTTTGACGTCTTGACCCCCCGTTCGAAGTTAGACTTATTTTACCCAGTCGGACAATTTGTCCTAGTTAAACATCCTCGTCAACAACTTCGAACCAAGTCCTCGCTACAAGTAATGGAAAATATTGTGATATAGACATTACGCATGGCCTTTGTTTTCGCAATAACAAAGGGTTAAAGCTAGTAACTATAATAAAATATAAATTAACATTACATTTACTATTTCACATTCATATATTTTTTTATTAAACTGAAGTGATAAAGGAACTAACAGTCCGCCTAAGAATAAGACACCCGCCACAAACTTTAAACAAAGAAGGACTAAGGTGGAATGCTTCACCACTTGTGATTATACCGGCAATGCCATTTTGGTAACAAGAATAGGTAAGAGGATGAAAATTACCCAGACGGAAAGTTATACAGAAAAGGAGTCTTATTATATTTTTATCTTTTATACAATATATATATATATATATATATATATATATATATATATATATATATAGTGATATTGACTGCCTCGTTGGTCTAGTGGTTGTAGTAGTACGACTGCTGATCGTGAAGTCCTGGGTTCGAATCCCGGGTCGGGCCAAAAAAACTAATTATTGAGTTTTCCATCAAGTAATTCTCTGTAGTTGCCCGGAGTCAGGAAGTTGGCGGTGTCTCATCCCCGTGCCTCGGAAAGCACGTAAAGCCGTTGGTCCTGCGCCTGATCTCTCTCCGGTCGTGTCGGTTTACCGTCCCATCGGTTTATGAGAGTGAGGGAATAGAGAGTGCACCTGTGCTTGCGCATACACTTGGCCACTATAATTCTGTCCTGCGCCGATGGCTAGCCTCCGCTGAGGCGGCCGGTCCTGAGGACATTATTATAGTGATATTAATGTCGTATATTAATAATATACATTAACGTTACCGTTACAACCTATCAAAGTCCACTGCTTAACATAGGCCTTCCCCATATATTTTCTCATACTAGATATTTGCCACTGTTGCCACGCTTGACAAGCGGGTTGGGAACCGCATTTTTTTTGTTTTAGTCGTTATTAAGAATACTCTGCTGACCATCTCCTGATTTCCTTTTCTTAGTCGCCTCTTATGACACCCGCGGGATGATATGGGGTAATGTATATTCTTACACCGTCACTACACGGTAAATATATAATAATTATAAAATAATAAATATGAAAATATTTGTATTTTAAGAAACTTTGAACAAGCTATAATTAAATTTTATTATCAAATGCTAAGTCTAAAAAAATAATGTCAAATATTTTCTTTGTTTTCAGTACGATTCTACGACGTATGGCCGAAATCGCGATTCAGTTAGAACCAATTCCTCAACAGAAAGACCTACAACCGTTACAGCGAAATATGTCAACCCATCCACATCATATAAATCGTCTAGTATTCCTGTCCTCTCTAGCGATCGCTCAGCAAGAGAGGAGACGCCTATTTCTGCGGTTGCCAGTCGTTATGCAAGTTACAATAAAACAGATAAATCGAGTAAATACGACAAAAAAGATTATAATAAGCTCTTAGTACCTTCAGTAAACACAAACAAGAGCAGAGATGTGAGTCCTGTGCCAGTTACTTCAAAATATGGTTTAAGTAGAACGTCAAGACACATAAGTCCAGAACGAAGAACAACGAAAAGTTTGAAAGATAAAAAAAGCGATGTTAGCCCTGCTGATCGTGATAAAGACATTCCAAGCAAGACTGATAAGTCTATAGGCTATAGTAGCCTGTCAAGCTATAAACTGTTTCCACGTGCGTCAAATTATAGTCGACCTGCAACTCGTACAGAAACCAAACCTGAAATCACTGTTAATAGATACGCAATTGCGAGCCGATTATCGACAAATTATTTAAAAAGCCCTATGTCAATTAAAAGAACTACTGTAAGTACGATTAATGCGACTAAAAAAGAAGCCGAAAAACATATCACGGAAGCCTTACAAAACGAAAAAGAAACTCAATATGAAAATAAAACGGAATCAAAGGAAAATGATATTGATAACAGTGAAAATAACGAAGATGATATCGAAACTATTAATGTCGTCACTCGACACACATCCCCAACACCTCCAGGATCATCTGCTTATGTTAGAAATAGAAGAGCAGATTTAGCTAAAACAATTGAAAAAACAATAACTCGTTTGCGGAAGAGACCAGAAATGTTACACAAAGAAATACAATCTGATAGATTAGATGATCCAACAAGATCGAGTAGATTTGGGAGCACAAGTAGATCAAGTTTAACTAACTGGTCATATTATTCTCCAACTTCACATAACTATACAGGATACGCAGGTAGATATTCCACACAATATTCCAATGTGCGTGAAACTGCGTCCGTGAATAATTATAATGATAAAAATACTCGCAATAATAACACAGAGTCTTTACCCCAAGAAAATTCAAACTATTCTTTACAATTAGACAAAAATCAAGATAAAGAGAAAATAAGTACAATTGATAATCATAAATTTGATTCTAATGATATAGTTTGTGAACAAAAGAAAGACGACGATACGTCAGAAATAATAATTAATGTCAATTTAAAACTAAAAAAGTCTAAAAGCCCTGTAGTATCAACTGAAATTGTCTCACCTGAAATAACTATAACAAATAGCCAATTACCACCACAAGCACCTAAATCAGATGGACTGAATAAAATAAAAAAGACTAAATCACGTAAATCAAGCACAGACTCACTGTCCGACTCAAGTTCAAAGAAAAAAGTAGTTAAAAAAAGAAGTAAATCAGTAAGTTCTACTGACTCTGAGCAGTGTAATGATAAGACAATTAAGAACAAAGAATCTCGACCGAGTTCACCGGTTAATCAGTATTTACAAAATGGACCTTCAAAATTGACACATTTAAAGACTAGAGAAAGTAATAGTCCGGAATCCAGTATAACGTTATCAACTCAATCATCGATAAGTGAAGATGAAAGTAATCAAAAATTGAAAACTAACGATATTATTCAGCATTTAGTAGAAGACGGAATAACTAAACAAGCATCACCTGTTAGAACATCAAAAACTGAGAGTGGTACTGAAGAAGCTAAATCATTTTTAATAAGAGCTTTGGCTCCTGTTACTAATCTTTTTAAATTAAGACACCAAGATTCTTTTGATAATTCAAGGCGAGTAGAAAATTCTACCACAGATTTTGCAACTACAGACGTATCTGGTTTTATAACAGAAAATGAAAAATCATCGAAGAGTAAAAATAACACTGACAACATTGTAGCATCAAATGATGATAATTTAGTAAAGTTAAAATCCATTCGACCAATTGAATCCGGTGATAAAATATGGCAGGTGGAATCAGATACTGGTAAAAAGCATATTAAGCAAAACGGTGATAAACCCCGTCGTACAGAATCTAGTAATGACCTAAGATGCGAAAATCAGGCATCCCAAATAAATACAATCGATGGTTTAGAGTCTATGAAACCATTAAAAAAATACATGTTGTGTGACGACGAAAAACCGTGGTGGTTGGATAGTTGTGCTAATATACCAGAAGGTATAGAACGTTTAACACCTCCTAGAAAGTCATCAAGTGATAGTGACAAAAGTGAAAAATCTAACTATCTGAAAGTAAGACACACTGAATCTGGTGAACAAAAAGACAGGCGACTAAATAATAGCGAAAGTTCATCAAATATTACTAAACGTGATACAAATAACTTAAGCAGGTCCAGTTCAGAAGTAAGAAGTTTTCCATTAAGGCGAATACGACATATAGAATCAGGGGAACGTCCATGGTGGTTATCTAGTGATAAAAACATTCCAGAAGGTATCGAAAAGCTACCAACACCTCCACCACAGCAAGAAAGCGATACTTCAGACTCTGAGGAGATACATGTGTATGTTCCTTTATCACAGATACCTCCATTTCCACTTCATTTACCCGATGATGAGCCGTTAGGTGATAGAAGAAGCCCGGAGGGCTTAGAAAATCCAAATAAAAATGAAATCTATCGGGGTCGCAGTTCACCCTACGAAAATAACCGCAATTACTGCAGAAATTCAATTCAAGAACCATACCGGAAGGGAGCTGATAAGTATATATCACGATATACTGATATTGATGACATTCTAGGTACCTCTGGTCAAATATACAGCCCTTTTATGGACTCTATATTAGCAAAAAGGACTGGACAAATATCTTTCGATGATGATGACTGCGAAGAAATAGACCCGACTCAAGTTCGCATCCACGATAGTACTCCACAGCGACCCGTTATTAAAAAGCTGCCATGCAGGTATTAAAACTTCGTCTTATTCATACTAGTCAGTGTGGTCTCATGCTCTAGTAAGTGCCTCCATGTTGAATCTTTTCTTATAGAATAATGGTGACAAACGAGCACATATTTCACCAGATGGTAAGTAAATTCTGTGGCCCATAGACATCTACACCTTTCCTCAGTTAAAATCAAAATGCAGATGCGTTACCACCTCTGAGAACTAAGATGGAATGCCTCGTTTCCAGTAAAAAGGGTCTACTATTCTATAGACTTACGACACAAAACACGGCAGCATTGAGCTGCAATTTTACGCTAGTATTCTGAGAGGGCGTGGTCTTTTCCCGGTCAAACCGACCCATTTGTGCTATAATCATAATATAGCTGCAGCATAGTTTTACCACGTAAATTTCTCAATCTTCCTTAAATTAAAATAGCCTACATTGTATGCACCTATTGAACAGATGCGCCTATAAGTATAATTTAGGTCTAAGTCAATAAATATTTCAAAGATCATAACGTAAAATAACAACCTCTAAAACCCGTAGCATCATGTATATGTTTAGGTATAGGTATTAATTAATGCTAAAATGTAATTCTGTTTTGTTTCAGAAGTGATATAGTTGACTGTCGAGACGAGGATCAGGTCTGTATTTACTATTTTTATTTTTAATCATTTTTCTTAAGTAAATTTTTAAAACTGCAATTCAGATGACTAAAGTCAATCTAAAATATTATCAATAAGAAATAAAATCTTTTAAATTGTATTTATTCCGAAATTACTTAATTAAATAAATGTTCAGCATACAGTAAATGCTGTATTTACTGTTAATCAAGCGACATCTGATTAACGGCTATATTATACCTATTTCAAATCAGTGAACATCATAAAATATTTACACAAGGCATTAAAATGCAACGCTTTATCCGTTGCATTTTTTGTCTCGCATCAGCTACCCTTGAAAAATTTGTCGAAGTTGTGCCAAATAAAAGCAGCAATTTGCGGTTAAATCGCTCACACGATATGAATACAACAGCATTTGAATAAATTAAATACGTGAGCTTGAAATATAAACGTTGATAACGTTGTCACTTACAAATTCTCTTAATTTCAAAAGTTATTCAAGTATTGCTTGGAATAAAATTAATTACGGATTTTATCGAGCTTAATTTTAACTTTTAACTCCGGGACTGCCCCCGCCCCCGTGACCATGAGTGCTGAAAGTGCCCGAAACGTCGGAAATTAAACTTTTAATTCAAGATAAAATCCGTAAAATGAGTTCTATTCCGTGTGTAATATGCGCGCAAATATAGGAAATCATTGTCAAATAATGTTCGCCGAAAATCTGACCAATCTTATCCAGACTGGCATAAGGCTTCGGCACGAGGCGCAGAGAGAGCAGTGAACCGAAGAGTGCACTGTATCCTTGATTAAGCCTTCTATGGGAATAGAGCGTTAGAATGAGATGGCGATGCGGCCCGCAACGCTGTTATTTTAGCACGGTGACGTCATAGCACAGATCGTGAATGATCATGAAAGGAAGATAATATTATATTTCATTAATCTTCACAGAAAAACTTACTACTGCTTCAAACAATCTTTCAATTTCTATAAATGCTTTATAACATAACGAAAGTCTTTAAAACATTGTAGAAAAGTTCTTTATATATAGTCGTAATACTATTTTAAATAAAAAAACCAAAACAAAATACAGCTTTGAAGACTTTTAAATTAGTCTATTTAATATTAATCTTTGTTAAGGCTTACTGTCGATAACTTCTCATCTCTTTCTTCCACACTAAACGATGTGATACAATATTATTTTCGTTATAGTCCTACCTCATACGAAAACCGTATTATTGTAGGCTGCCTTATAAATATTGGAGGCTTTCAAAAGTAGTTGGTTAACATCGACGAGAAAATTGTACCTGAGGCAAGTTGTCTTACAACAAGCTCCTCACTCCTCAGTTATGTTTATAGCTTTGTCAAAGGTGGTATTATATACAGTACTAAAGTGCGTCGTCATAGTTTCGGGCGCTCAAAAAACTGAACATTAAAAATTATAATGCAGTGATTTTTGTGATTCAAAGACTGTGTTCTGATCTCAGGAAGGTAGTGTTGGGCTTAATATATATTTTACTGTGAATTTGTCATTTAAATGATACTCTTTCACGCGGAGCCGGTTTTTTAAGTTTGTCTTTTTTGATGTACAAGCTTACTGACGACTAAGTATTTTGCTATTGTTTTACAAAATTTTGTAGTTTATGACTACACTTCAGATTCCTGTAGGTATTTTAATAAGACATTATTAAAAATCATATTTTTGTACTTAATTAAAATATATTATCACTTTAAGTTTTATAACTTTTAATTTAATTATTAATATTACGTATATGTATATATGTGAGATTTAGAAACCATTAAATATAATACCTTGGCCGCACCTGCCTGAGTGAATTATAAAATAGGAAGCCTGCTAGCTAGACATAAGAAAATGAAAACCTGTTACCTTATGTTCAATTCACACGCGAATATATGTAATATAATATTTTCTACATCAAATGAAGTTGAACACATTTTACTACAACTACTTTCTGACTAATTATTATAAGAAATATTCAAACAAGATACATGTTTTAGCTTTTTGGGCAGATTGTTAGTCTATATATATATATATATATATATATATATATATATATATATATATATATATATATTTTTTTTTTTTTTTATAATATAGGGGTTTTAAGTATATGTAGAATAAATTATTGTAAAAACAACAATAACCCGAACATTCAAATATGCGATTTATAACGATTCTTAATTGATATCTTAAATACACGAACCAAATCATAATTAACAGATAAAGTTAATAGGCTTACTTTAGTTTCGAAAACAAAATTATGAAATAAAGTAATATCTTTCATAAGTTACAACCATCTTCATTGTTATGCATAAGTAACAGTTAGTTGCGGTTTTGTAACACGATGAATATGTTCAATGCATTACTAATGGCACAGTATTAATTAAAAAAGCAGAAGAAGATAAATAGAAATATCGTATTAGCATACATGGGACAGGTGGTTCCTTTGTAAATAACTCATAAGTCCCAGACGGAATGAAGGACACGTTAACAAAGCGCGTGTCCGGGAACCGACTAGGTTTTTTAACACATCCGGACCCTTTATTATCGGTTTAGATAACGATTTTATTACTTTCACACTTTCAAAGAAAATCCTTTAACGAACAAAGGGTCATTGAGAATATGGAACAAAAGATGGGTGCCTCTGCTACGTCGAATAGAAAACCTAATATCAGTGACGCGACTAAAGTAAAGATACTTAGAATATTAAAAAAACGGAAGTATTTCGTTAGGATTTTGTTTCCCTTTGTTCTGGAAAAACTGAATAAGTGTTAAAATAGTTCATTTTGACTCTCAAACTTACTTTTATCAGATAATCATAGATATTCCCAAACAAAAAGATAAATATGAAATAAATTACGAAAAGAGCCAAAGTCGAATATACATCATATTCACACAGGTCACATGTCGCCTATCATTTTTGAAAGAGTTTTTAAAGTTGGAAGACTTCGCCTCGCTGCCACGCATTGCGTGTTGTGGAATTTCATATGTCCCTAAATTAATTTTAATTTCTCAACTATTCAAGTTTCCTTGTGACGATATCTTTCACCAGCGATTTCGTTATCAACATTAACAATTCCAATGGTGTCGACGGGGATAGAACTAGGGTAACTCGAGTGAAGAAGCTTCCTTGAAGACATGCTAAGTGATTGCTAGATGTTGTTACTGTAATGCGAATAAATTGAATAGTATTGAATAGTATTATTACCATTATCTGCTTTTTTAAATTTAAAAAGGCTGGTGACAAATACATGTTCAGTTTCATATTCATATGGATACCGACTTCTTCTTGAAAAGAGAATGTAGTGATTTCTTAAATTTACGCGAACACTAATTTTATTCAAGATTTAATTTATTATCACTAGTATTAGTGATAATAAACTAGTCTTGGTTGATCTTTACCAGTTTTATTCAAGAGAATGTAGATTATAACGTCATACGATAGTTGTAGCAGACAGCAAAGTTAGACAATTTTAAGCACACTTTTTATTTGCATTTCTTTAGAAATCAATCATCACATGAATTACTTTTAAAAAGTATTTAGTTTCAAATTTACTTCAACTTCAACATTAAGGGGTTAACATAAACGAAACAAAATTAAGAATAATGTCGTACAGAAATATGCATACCTACTTGCCTTAATGATTCTAAGTTAAAGTTTTATCCAAAATTCTTCACGCAAATTTTCAACTTCCTAGAGCCACAGCTAGATATGGTGATTTCTAGTATATACCAAGTGGCAAGTATTACTAAAAAAAAATAACTGTCCACACTCACCACGCTGGGCAAATATATTTTAGATCGATCAACCGATACCCACCGAGGTTCCCCATCACTAAATAAACAGTGAAATATATATACAATAACAAACTGTGAAATTTTAGTTATTTTAGAGTCGATATTCCGCAGATTATCTGTTGTTCGCTGAAATAAAGTTAGCATTTGCACAAAAACATTTGTGGAAACCTGCATGTTTGACAAATTAAAAAAAATAAAAGACATCTGAAATCCAACAACACGTTATAGGGCTGCGCGATGGACAATTCTTTGCATTGACACTCAAGCAATAATAGGAGGCATGTTCCCAGCTGTGAGATGTATTAGGTTGTAACTTTTTATACTCTTTACTTTATATATGGACAATATATCACACGAGCGACTCTTGACTCCCTCCCTCTCCCACTAGATGGAGTAACGATGACGGACAGGAAGTCGATAGACAACTCGGCAGCGCTGTGGCTAAGCATTTGGGAAACAGAAACAGAAATTGAAACTTTTTTATTCAATGTAGATTATAAACAATACTTATTGAAAGTCAATTTTTTCATTTACTGATTGACAACAAATTGGGGATTGAATTCCTCACGTTGTAACTGTTTGTATAGTTTTTAAACTGTAAAAAATGTCTGAGTCCGAATTATCCATGTGTAATTTATGTACATAAACGCCTCCTAATACAGTAGGGGTAACCTTCCAAAAAAAAAACGATGCTAGTGGCTCAGGACTGTGTTTTGTATCATTCCTTGAAGGAGAGCTATGTTCAACAGTGGACTTATAGGTGGTAGAGGCACGCTGTAGCACATCATAGCTGCGGTACCAGTAGGTCGGCTCGACCGGCAAAGGACCACACTCGCACAGAAAATCATGGAACAGCAACACAGTGCTTTCTGTGTTTTGTACGGTGAGTGAGAAGGAACGGAAATATCTTTCATTGTTTACGAATATATCTACTTTTGTCCCTAGGATGTCAAATTATCTGTATTTTTCTTCGATTAATTATATACGATCGAAGGTATTTTTATTCTTAATCGGGGATAAATGTAGGTGTCTACGAGCTGCAACATCCACTTACCATCAGGTGTGGTAATTTCCTACGCCTGTAAAAAAGTAGAGTACTTCTTAGATTTGGTCGACTATAGTATACCGCTATTTTATTAGGAGTCATGAGATCTTTCAGCTATTTCCCATCGCACACTGTTGAGCAGCAATAACACAGACTAAT